TCATCATACGAACCTATTGGAACCTTCAAATTTTGATTTTGAGGTCGTTTATTCAAAAGTCAAACCTTAGTCAACTCTTCCAACTTAAAGCTTCCGAAATGAGAATTTTCCATCTGAATCAACTCCGAACTTCCCGAAATTCAATCCCAACCACACGTGCAAGTCATAATACCTAAAGTGAAACTACTTAAGGCCTCAAACCACTGAATGACGCTGCTAGAGCTAAAAACGACTGGTCGGGTCGTTACACCTGCTGCACAAGCATAAATCTCAAAACCAACTCGATCCGAAGTACCTGGTTCTACACAAAAATATGCAGAAGCGTAGCATGAGTACACCACAGTGGTACTCAGTAAGTATCAAACCTAACCTCGGTAGAATAGTAACGAGCCCAGGTCAAGACACCTACTGAACATATAAACCTGTGCAAGATATGGCATAAAGCTAACAAGGAAGGAATATTAATGTAACACTAATAGCAGGAAGAATTCAGATTACAAACAGTAGTAAAGATAAGGGGGACACGAACGACTACGAGAAATAATCAGAGAATAAGCGGCGACATAGTGCGGTACAGGTGTAGTATAAATGTGCTCAAGTAGGGAAAACGATGCCAACTCATCCAATCAAATCATTTCTAATACACCGTATCAACAGTCCCACTTTCTCGTAAACCCATATCATAAATCACAACTTCAAATCCTTTAACACACAGGACACCTTGTGCCCACATTTCCCATCTCTCTTCGCACGGCAAAATCCACGTGCTACCATGACTCAGTGTAGTAAATTCATCTTGAAAATCAATTAACCAAAATAATAGTATTAGGAAAAGAATTCAGGAAATGACGGCAAGGCAATAAATCAATGACAACAACTCAGTCCACCAAAATCAGTGAAAGACCAGAAATACAAACTCTCAGAGTATTGTACGAAAGAAGCGAAGCCATTACAATATCATAGAGAATACAAAACACATAAATACAAATTGCGGCGCGCAACCCGATTCCACCATTTAATCAGAGACAATATAATAATTCACCCTCATTTCACTATATCAATTCACCCTTATTTCACCCGTTGCGGTGTGCAACCCGATCCCACCGTATCAATATCAGAATAATAAACAAAATATGTTGCGGCGCACAATCCGATCCAACCATATAATATAAATATCGTGATTCACCCTTATTTTACCATAACAATTCACCCTTATTTCACCTGTTGTGGCGTGCAACCCGATCCCACCGTACAATAGTTTAAATCAACATCAATAATTCAATAACTCAATTTACAAGAATCTATAAAATCAAGGGGTATGAGTACACGATAACAATGGAACCACATAAAAATAAAAGGAACACAACAAACTTTTCAAAAATGACAGAACAGGAAAGGCATACGATAACTAAGGATGCGATCACAACAATTAGGACATGTAACAGATAAGCACATAGTCATAGAAGAAATTCAACAATTAAGAGGTAACAATACAATAAGGAAGGCAATAACTTCAACTAAGGCATATAAGGGCCAAATAACGAGTAAGAGGCACACTAAGTGCAAATAACATCACATAGAGCATGCAAGAGTAGTCTAATAACAAAATATTATAGGTTATGACAATTCAATTAAAGGCATGGAGAGAGTGACTAGACACTCTGAACCGGTCAATTACCACATATATACCGTGTACCCACTCGTCACCTTACGTACATGATTTTCACATAGCAGGATAGCACAATTAACTCAATTCCTATGAGGTAATTTCACCCACACAAATAGACAAGACACTTACCTCAAAGAAGCTAGACTGATATTCTAAAATGACCTACTATAGTGAAACAGCCTCTAGACGGCTCAAATCTAGCCAAAATAACCTCAAATCATAAATAACACTCATAGGAAACAATTCTGGATAATAAAGCTTCAATCCTTAACAAAAACTAAAGAGTCAACCCAAAGTCAACCCCGAGCCCACACCTCGAAAACTGACAAATTTTTACAAAACCCGAACACTCATTTCGATACGAGTTTAACCATACCAAAATTATCGAATTCCAATACCAATTCGTCCCTCAAATCATCATTTTTCCTTTTGAAAGGCTTCTTCAAAAATCCCCACTTTCCCAACTCAAAACACTAATTATAAGATAAAAGTAAAGATAGAATCATGGAATATAATAAATTTCGGGTGAAGAACACTTACCCCAATGTTTTCCTTGAAAATCCCACGAAGAATCGCTCTAAACCTAGCTCTATAACTCCAAAAATGATTAAAAAAAAAAAAGCTAACCCTGAGAAAAGAGTACTTTTATATTCTGCCCAGGTGTTTGTACATCGCGATCACGAAATTTCAGTTGCGATCGCGAAGTGGAAATTACTACTGTACAAAATTAATGTTACGCGATCGGAACAGAAGAGTACGATCGCGAAGAGGGAAAATTCTGATGCCCAAGGAATGCACTATGCGACTGCGAAAGAGAGAACGCGATCGCGATCACGAAAGGAAACCAGCTAGGGCTGTGCTACGCGAACCCGGTTGGTAAAACGCGAATGCGTTGAAGGGAAATGCACACCTACGCGATCGCGGACAGTAGTGTGCGAACGCGAAGAACATTTATTCTCCAAAATTACACTACGCGAACACGGAGGGATTGATGCGAACGCGATTAAGAAATGAGATACCAGCAAAACAGCAGTCCAACATCATGGAGAAATGGCCCGTAGCCCATCCGAGACACGCCCGAGGCCCCCGGGACCCCTTCCAAACATGCCAAAAAATTCCATAACATAACACAGACTCGCTCAAGGTCTCGAATCACATCAAACAATGTTGACACTACGAATCGCACCACGAATCAAACTTATGAACTTTCAAATCTTCCAACTTCCAAAACTCGTGCCGAAACATACCAAAGCAATCCAGAATGACGTCAAATTTTTAATGCAAGTCCCAAATGACATAATGAAGCTAATCCAACTCTCGGAATCGCATTCCGACCCCGATATCACCAAAGTCAACTCTCGGTCAAACCTCTCAATCTTTCAAAACTTCAACTTTCCATTTTTTGCCGAAACGCTTCAAATTAATCTAACGACATCCAAATCCAAATCCGGACGCACGCCTAAGTCCAAAATCACCATCCGGGCCTATCAGAACCATCGAAACTCCAATCCGAGGTCAAATACTTATAAGTCAAATCTTGGTCAATTATTTTAACTTCGAGTTTCTCAAATGAGAGTCACTTCCTAAAATCAATTCCGAACCTCTCAAAAACCCGAGCCGATGATGCACGCAAGTCATAATACACTCTATGAAGCTACTCGTGACATCAAACTGCTGAACCGGACGCAATTGCTCAAAACGACCGGTCAGGTCATTACACCAAGGCGATTGAATGTAAGAAGAAAAAGAGTTTCTTAGGTCACTCAATGGTCGATTATATTTGACATGAACACATAGTTGGTCGCCTATTAGGATTTGACAGTTGAACCATATCCTAGGGTGACTCAGAGCTATAAGGACAGAAGGAAATATTACTTTATTCTTCTACTGGTTCTTGAGAATAAATTGCATACTTCATTCTATCCGGTCGTTAAGGAGTGTTTCTAGATGCCACCCTTGATTAGTATATTGATATGATTAGTTTACTACCGGTTTAGTATTGAACCTATGGGGTCGCACACTAGCGAGTGTTCTGATCTTTGCTTAGAATTACTTAATTTATTTTTTGATAATTAAATTAAAGAATTTAATTAGTCAAATAATAAAGTTATTAGTCCATATAAAATATTATTATATTTTTTCTAGCACAGAGGATATAATTAATATTGTGTACAAATTAAAATTTTCTATTTGGAATAAAAATTGAATTATATTTCTTGGTTGAAACATATATATGTGATGTATATAATTTATTTTATATAAGAGATGTATATAAAATATAATATTAATAAAAGGCTTGTTAGTAATTTCAATTTGAAATTGGATTAAATCACGTGTAAAGTTCACAAAAGGAACTTGTCGCCAATATCTTCCCATCTGGAATGGGATTAATCTTTTATTAATTATGAAAGGTTTACAAGTAACAGATTCCAACTTTGAGTTGGAGTAATCACGTGAACAAATCTTCGGCAGTCACAAACCTATTTGAATGGGTTTGAACTTTTATGGAAAAAGTTAAAAAGCTTTTTTTTTTTTTAAATAAAGCTTTACCCTAAGTAAATCATTACCTCAACTAAATAGGAAAATTTTTTTAGGTGATGCTATATAAAGGATAATGGAGAAAAATTTACCACATTAATTCTTGAGAAGAAAAATCATTTTGTGAACGAGAGAGTGCAATACAATGCCAAGAGTGAAAATACAATTACAAGAAAAGTGTTTCTTATTCTTCTATCGTTGAGTTGAGATTTTTTGAGAAAAATTTCAGCACAAGGTTTTTCAATCAATTTGTTCGCGGGTTTCATTGATCAAAGAGTTGATACCAAGGATCGGTTTCGGTGTGGATACACATAGAGTCTTCGCACTATCGAAGAATTTTTGAAACGAGACTCTCTTCACCAGGTACATCTTAGATTCAATCTTTGACATAAAAATAAATTTTAAACACGAAAAGATCTTCCTAGGATTGTTATTGTCTTCTGCAACATGTTATGAACGTCTATATTCAATCCTTCAGGTCTACTACCTGACTTCATGCTCTCTTTTTCTTGTTCTTTCTTCTTCTTTTTTATTACATTTTGTTTCGCCTTGTTCTCATAATTTTATTTTTATCCTCTATATAAAGTAGAATGCTTTAATTACTCATGAATCACAATTTGTTTAAAAGTAAGGCACAATCATTATTGTTGCTTTATATATCTTCTTTAATTATTGTCTTTCTTTCATTGATTACAATTTACAAGTAATTTAAAGGGGAATGCTTGATGTTTAGCCATAATTTGATCCTGTTAAAAAACATTCAAAAGAACTCCGAATTCTAGTTATACCAGATGCTGAGAATTTCTATGGTTACGTTTAACGATTCATTTTCAAGATAACAAAATACATATCATCATTCACCAATCAACTTCCTTTAAAATTTATACATTTTTTGCTTCTTTTTATTTTATTTTTTGGTAGGAACATATTTTGCTTCATTTCTATGTAGAAAGAAAATTACAACTAGCTTAGCCTGAAAAATCAGTGCACAAAACTTGGAGAGAAATATCCTCTCTTTATATCTTTTTCGTCATCATTCTTCAATATGCTTAGCGAAATTCCTGGCTATTTATTTCTACGAGGTTAAGTGACCAACGTCTTCCCATTTCTTTACATGCGTAGAGGCCTTCTCTGCCTGCATTTTCAGCAAAACAATAATAATTTATTGTAATACCCCATAAATTTCAAACAAGGACATACTGGTCATTTAACAAACCAAAAAAAAAAAAAATTAGAATAACTAAAACGAGAGGGCCCAATCAGCCCATGAGAATAAACCTAACAGAGGTAAGAGTTCTGCAAACATAAGGAGTCAAAAACAAATTCGGAGAGGAGTGCTTCGCACTAAGCAGTAGAACGTGAAAAACAAAAATTGTTAACCAAGAGAAGATATTGGCGCATAGGATCTGATTTCCATAGTTTGAGGCCAACTTTGGGAATTTCTTGGTTCAAGTAATTCGTCGTCCACCATTGATTTTCCTTCCGTGAAGAAGAACAAGGTATTTTGATATTCTACTTACCTTAGATAATTTGTTTCAGATTCTCTTCCTTATTACTCAATATATAATCTATCCTTTATTGGTTGGTTAGTTAATTATAAGTAGACATAAGAAAAGGGAATAGAATGAATGACTTATGGAATTTCTATCGCCAAGGTACTTGTAGCAGAGTTCTTGTATTCATGAATTCCAGAGAAGAAACTATCAAATTTTTGCACCAAAGGATATTTTTTTTCAAATAAGAAAATCAAACCTTGTGCCTTAGAGGTGGTAGTATCATAAAAATAAGGACAAAAATAGAAATAGGTTATCTCCATTTTAATTCACGTACTCTTACATTAAGTAAGTTTAAAAAATATATATATATGAGTGATCAGACTCCAAGGAATTGGCTCATGATATCAATATCATGTAAATTATAGATTGATTGGAGGAATTTGTACGAATTGCTCGAGGTGAAGCATTTGGTATTTCGGCACGAGTACTGTGAGTAGTAATCTTATCGCAATTTGTGTTTTCATAACTTGCATGATTTACACATGATTTTTAATATGAATATGTTACCGATTATTTTGAGTTGCATGTGGGACAAGTCTTTTACTCGATATGATACCGAAATAGTTATTTGAGATGCATACCGTGGTTTTAAATATTTTCGTTGTTACTAGATCTGTTTTACCGTTACTTGAATTTACTGTTATCGAAAGGAAATTATATGATTTGATAAGAACCGAAATGCCCTATATTGTTTTAAAATAGTTTCTACGAGTATATATGGATTAGAGAGACAAGTATAAATGGGAGTAGACATTGAAGGATCCCGTAGCTAACGGCGGGTTCGTTAGACCTGGTGCACCTTGTATTTACCGATTACAGAGTACAGTTATAGCCCTCGCTAGTGGGAAGGTAGAACTAGCATACCGTTACCAATTTCCCTCGAGTAGGGACTACCGTTATATATGACTTCTTGCAAAGAAGTCCACAGTTATACCGATTACATGATCCGTTCATTGAAACCTCCCAAATATGAATATTGATATTATACAGTGGTTACCGAGCTTATTACTGAATTGTTAAATGTATTATACTACAAGAAAAGCATGATGAGACTAAAATTGTTTATTATTTCTGAAAGGGCATTTTTATGTTATTTTCTCTTTGAGATACTAGCATGTTTCTGACTTGTCCCCAAATAAAAACGGTTGTGGTTAAGTGTTATTACTCACTGAGCTAGCGACTCATTCCCCGCTAATTTTTTTTTTTACAGAGACAACAGTTGACGCAGGCGAGGATTTCGTTAATTAGAGCGTACAGGTTGAGAATTCTTGGTGAGCCTCGCACTTGTTCGCGTGGGCGGAGATGTTTATCAATTGTTATAGTCTTTTCTTTGAATTCTTAGAGTCGCTCCATAGTCATTCTTTTAGTTTCATGAGTATTATTTTGCTATTAGTCTTTTGTTGAGTATCGTTCTTTATTATCAAGGTTGGAGATAAATTAGTATTTCCGGTTGTTAGTGGGTTGAGTAGTAATGGTGGAGACTCGTTTTGGTTGATTGATTGGTTGTCAATTGTTGGTATGATATTAGGATGTTTGGTTGTTGATTTCTAAGACAGGTTTATTTTTGGGATAGTCCAAAAACAGGGGAAACTCTGTCCGATTTTCTGTAAAATACCGATGAGGCTTACTTGGGGGCACTTGCTCCTAGGTGCCGGTCATGATCCTAAATTGGGTCGTGACATTTATTCAGTAAATATACCTCAAGTTTAACGTTTATAAACACTATCAGATCACTTAAAACATAATTATAAGTAGTTATCTAGAGAAAATGAGATTTTTTAACACGAAAAATAAATATATTTCCTGCTACAGCTGGTTAAAATACACAAATAGTAAAAAATTATGGTACCTCTTTATTCCAATCACATCTTATTGTGATTATAGCCAAAATCAAAGTCTGAATTGCAGTTCCACCAAAGATCATTCCAGCCCAGATGCCCTATAGAAACATTTTCATTACCATAATTTCACTTTTCTACATTAAAAATGAAATATAACTTAAATCATTTCTTTACTTTTATTTACCACTTTCTATAAGCTGAAAAATTATAAAATATGAGGAACATACCATAACACCATAGTGGAAACCCCATCCCATTATGAAGCCAAGAGGGACTCCAAGTACATAATAGCAACCCAAATTTATATATGCAACATATGCTTGCCATCCAGATCCAACAGCAACCCCTATAAATATCAAAATATAATTAAAAAATTAAATAAAATAAAGAAAACAAATTTAGAACCTATTAACTCTTTGCTTAAATAATACATCTCATATAAATGAATACATGACAAGCAGAGACGAATCCATGATATAGAGTCATTAAATTTAGAATGAGTACGATTTTTAATTTTTTTATATGTATATATAGTTCGAACCGAATGAAATGAGCTGTGAATTTACCCGAGAGAATGGGTTGAACGCTGTTGAGGAGAACAGTGAAGGCCAAGAGAATAGAGAGTTTATGAACAGCTTCAAGGACGGGTTGGCTTGTTGAGAAAATAAGAGCAAGTTCATTGTGGAAAAATATGATCAAAATCCAAAAAAATAAACCAATCACTATTGATTGTGTAACTGCTACTGCTGTTGCAAACTTGGCTCCTTTTCCATTTCCAGCTCCCAACTCATTTGCTACCCTTACTCTGCATCATGTGCATAAAGTTAAATTATTTCTAAATATATTTATTTTATTATTCTTTTTTGGACATAGTAAGAAATAAAAAGGCATAGCATAAAATTGGAACCAAAAAAAAAAAAAAAAGAGCAGCGCGATGCACAAGGCATTTCGCGTTCACACAGGGTTCGGTGAAGGGCCGCACCTCAAGGGGTCTGATGTAGACAACCTAATTTAATGCAAGCATTAGTAGCTGTTTCCATGGCTCGAACCCGTGACTTAGAGGGTCACACGGAGTATATTATAAGTTCTTGAAATGTTTTGGATCAAATAATGATAACCACAACTCCCGCTATGTGCGAGGTCCAGAGAAGGGCCGGACCACAAGGGCCTATCATAGGCAGCCTTACCCTGTATTTCTGTAAGAGACTGTTTCCACGGCTCGAACCCGTGACCTCCTGGTCACATAGCAGCAACTTTACCAGTTACGCCAAGGCTCCTCCTTCATGAGTTTCAGAACGATTGCACTAATATTGAAACTATGTACACTGATAGTATAAATAATCTCTGTTTTTTTAGTGTATATATAACTCAATTTTTTTCTTGATTAGTACTATAACATTTAGAAAGGTGTACTTGGACAAGATTTTTTTTCTAACTCCAAAATCTTGTGGACCTTGACTTGATATATAACATGTGATTCTTTCGTGTCTATTTTCCATTTCTGAAACTGTTACATAGCAAATTTCTGATAAATTATATTGAATTCGTGCAAATTATAGACAATTACATTACGAGCATTACCTAACTGGTCGACAATTATTGGCCATAGAGTTTTGTCTTCTGCTAATAAAAGAAACAGGTGAAAGGACAAAGCTATAGACTATTTGGAGTGAAATGAATATTTTTACACTTTTTCTTTTCAACCACTTTTTGTCTTTTCAGTCAACTTTTTTGAGTACTTTCAATATTATATAAATGATTTTGATGGATTTTAGCCCCATATAAGATCACCAAAGATTCATGTTATATAGTATTCAAGTGCTAGATATAGGACTAAATTTTAATAATTGAATAGGAGTTTCAAGAATTAGGTGAGTGAATTACTCTCATTCTTCCTTAAAATTTTAATAGTGTCTATTCACTATACAGTATAATCATATTTCTTACGAGAAATTAAACTATTATGTATAATATATATATATATATATATATATATATATATATATATATATATATATATAGTAGTACTGTAGTAATATGTTCAATAAAGGTATTTTTCTATATTTAAGGTAACTTTATACTTTTTTTAAGGAGAGAAAAATGATCCTTAAATGAAATAATAAGGACATATATAATCCAACCCTGTATAATCTACTAGCTGATCAACGACAAAGTACTACGAGATGTAAATCGTACTAGGCAAGCTCGGTGCGACGAGCTTTAACTGAGGAGTTGTTGGGGAGAAAAATCGATCACAGGTCTTCCATGTAAGAAATCACTCACCCAACCAACTCAGTCAATACTTACGGGTGAAATGTTTCTACTCATAAAGGAACCACATAAATTTACGATGATTTTCTAGACAAATTTTCAGAAAAAATGTATTCGGACGTTTTGCAAAATTTCAAACACTTTGTGGACATCATATTTGTATTATCTCAGCCCACTAGTGATACTATCCGCTTTGATTCTAGGCCCGCACAATTTTTCTCCCATATTTTATCGATGTAGGATTCACGTAGGATGTTACAACATTAGCTTTTGTTGTTTCTATCACTAGTTAGGCCAAAGAGGAACAAAAGACAAATTGGGAGAGCTAGTTGTCCAATTCAGTCATTTTCATAATTCACTGTCAAATGTAAGACGGAACCTATTCCATCCACTTATTTTCATAATGTATAATACGAAAACATTAAATTAATTATTATTATTGTGTAAATGAAAAAGGAAATAGACATACCCAGTTCCAGCAAAGAAACCAAGAGGAATCATTAGTTCCCAGCCATTGATATTCATGCTGCAAGAATTAAAAGTAACAAAAAATTAAGACAATCAAATAAAAGAAAGTGACATCAATTAGTATTATGTTTGTGTTGGACAATTTAAAGATAACTTGGTCTTTTTCTTCTGTCATCAATTATTATGTTCGACAATTTAAAGATTACTTGGCCATTAAATTTGACTGAGACCAAATTATGAGACTTGTCTACTTCATAGTCAAGAATGGCAAAGGCAATGATCCCCAATTACATTTAACTTATGGTGTTATCATTATCATTAATTTATTCATTAAAAATATAATAAATACTCCTAGGCTCTTTATTCCAGGAGGAACTTAGGAAAAAATAAGTTATTTCTTTCTTAATCTGAAAAAAAGACAAATATTGCGGACCACAAAAAATAGACAAAAAAATCAAATATTATGAACCACAAAAAAGATACCAAAAAATCAATTAAAGGGGAGTAACAAGTTAAAAGGATTAAAAGAAGACGTAAAAGAAGGAATGAACTAATCATGCAGCTAATTAATACAATTAACATCATCATTAGTGCCATAATTTATTGGTCTAATTGTTTTTTTGCTTTTTGTACATGTAATCAAGGAGAAAAGTTTGCTTACCAAATGGATAATGCGTCCACAGCAATTTTAGCATTTTCCAAATTACCAGTCATCACAATTAGCACTCTATAATACCAGTTCTCCAAGCTGTTCCATATTTATGGTAATGTAAGATTAGATAGAAAAAATAGACCATAAAGAAATTGCATTAATATAAGCAAATATATAAAATTATGACATGATGGCAAATTTTTTAGCTCCCACTCTTAAACGAAACAAGGAAAAAGAAAGAATTTAACTTATATACACTATGTATAATAATTTTACACTATTCGTGCAATTTTAAAATAAGATAGCATATAACTTACCTTATTTTCCTTGATTACTATCCCACCTTTTTTTTTAGTTATTTTTTAGATAACCTAATAGTATAAAAAATATTTTATCCTATCTATGTATAGAAGTTAAACTCTAAAATTTGCTTTCTAGCTCATTTCCCTTACCAAACCTATGTTGCTTGTACTCTTTAAAAATGTTGTCGTGCACGTATCGGTCAGGATCGCTCGACATCATTTTAAAGAGTCCAAGCAACATAAAAGGCTACCCGGTGCACTAAGCTTCCGCTATGCGCGGGTCCGGGGAAGGGCCGGACCACAAAGATCTATTGTATAGAGCCTTATCCTGCATTTCTGCAAGAGACTGTTTTCACGGATCGAACCGGTGACCTTAATCACTCAAACAAAAGACTAGAATCTTGAGATGAGAATAATACCAGAGCATGATTCCAGAAGAGACAGAGAGCTTGAAAAAATCCCAAAGACCAGAGAAAGCTTCCATACTAAAACCAGTCCAAGAAAGAGGACAACCACCACAAGTAGCATAACCAAACAACATCAACATAACCAACCACCAAGAGATATTCAAAGTAAGTGTTGTCCCAATAATACCCAAATGAAACTTGTACACAATCAACCAACTTATCAACACATGAAAAATGAATGCCACAAAATTTGCCCAAGCTATCACATTATTCTTCAATTGGCTCTGTAAAAACCTCTGTAGTGGAAATTGAAATGCAAAGCAAAAGTGCAGTGGAATAAAGGCCAAAACTACAACTCCAGATAACTCTGCGACATCCTCTGGTTGCCCAAGAAATTTCAAGACTGGCGTTGCGAAGAGAAATAAAGGCAACATTATAATACAACATAAGAAGAGTACTATCCAAGAACGTTGCAAATAGACTCCTAACATGTAATATTTCTTAGCACCAAATGCTTGTCCACATAATGTTTCCAATGCACTCGCCATTCCTAGCTGCATAATAAATAACGTCAATCAGGGGCGAAGCTACATATAATAAAAGATGTTAAATTGAATCTCCTTCGTACTATTAAAAAAATAATTTGGTATATTATATAAATTGTTGAATCTTTTTAACATAACGGAAGCTTTTGTATAGTAGCAAACAGAGGCGGACCTATGTTATTAAGTGAGGGGTCACAACCCAGAAAGTTCGGTAAAATTTCCATGAATACATGTATATATTTTTAGTAAATAGTGATCTATTAGTAGTGACACCCTGCATACAGAGCAGATTTTGGTTTAAAGCAAAAGTGCACCCCCGACCTTCAAATCCTAGGTCTGCCTCTGGCACCCAAATAGCTGCCCACCTGATCTCTTAAACTAAAAATAGCCGACGAATATATAATATATGTATAATCGTGTATAACATATGTATAACTGTGTGTAATTATTATATAATCTATGTATACTGACTAGAAAAATAAACATTAAATCTGGCCGGCTATTTGTGTAACAATTCCTTCAAAAACTGGCTTCACGCTGTAGGTTCAAAAAGCAAGTGTAGTGTATAAATGCATTTTCAACCCCCCCCCCCCTCCCCCCCTCCTCCCCCGGTTAGAAATCATATATGAATTCTCACTGTTGATGTCGCTCCATTATATTGAAACTGACTCGACGCAAAGTCTCATTTAAAATATATGCATAAAGAGAACTCGTGTAGTATACTTCTAGCTATGGGATTGAAGCGTAGTTGATTGATTAATATAGTAAGAAACTACGTACCATGAGGCCGAAATCGAAGCCAAGAACAACATTACTAGCAATGGACATAGCAGCAAGTTCAAGATCACCAAGATGACCAGCAAAAGCTTGAGTTATGACAAACATGGAGTAAGAAACTATTCTACTAAAAATAGCAGGGCCAACTATATGCCATAGCATCTTTGATTCAATCCAAAATCTTTTTGAAAAACTTTCTTCATTTTGGTTTTGTTCTAATATATAACTCTTGTGGATATTAGAAGATACATAATCTAATAAGGGTACCTTATTTTCCTCTATTTTTCCATTGCTAGACATTTTTTCCTTACCTAGGCTTTCTCTCTCTAATTTAGGCTCTACAAAAGAAGAAGGATTGAGAACTTAGAGAGAGAAAGAAAAAGCCTTAGAACAAGATTGAGGAAATGAAAGCAAGAGGAATTCATTTGTGTGGTTAATGCATATATATATATATATATATAGTAAGTAAGTCCACAAGAAGAACTCAAATAAGAAAGCAACACATTATAAAATTAAAATTGGAATTTTCTCCTTACCTATCTTTGGAGAAACCTCTTTTTTTTTTTTTTTTTCTTTTTTTTTTCTTTTTCTACTAGTGGCACAACTAGTTCACGGGTCCAAATATTTTCAATATATAACAGCATAAATGCATGGAACTTATTAAAATTTCAACATTAAATTTGAGAAACTTTTGAAAGTATAATAAATTTAGTGCTAAAAACTTTAAATATCGAACTTATTAAACTTAAAATCGAATATGTCATTGATATTGTCACTACATATTGACAGGGGCAGAGATATAGCCTTTCGGTTAAAGTGCTGAACTCATAATTGTTAACACGGAGTATGGATTTATATTTAAAAACTTACTAAAAAAATTCAATAAGTACTAGTTTTAAACTCATAAGTTTAATCGTATCATGAATTTAATGCTAAATCTTAAAAGTTAAACCTATAAATTTAAACGGTGGATTGACATGAGTAGTCGTAAGTATGTAGTTGATGATTGAGATTGAAAAAAAGCAAGTTGTCCAGAGATTCTTGGAGGATAGTACAATAATTCTGACAAGTGGCGGATGACAGTTCAGTCCTTTTTATTTATAGCTCTTTTTGTTAGTAATTATATTTATTATTGTGGTGAGTTCACAAGATAATGTTTCTTTCTATCCACGTCTTTTGAGCAGATTTAGAAAGACAAGACACCAGAGAAGAACAAAAGGAACTCTACTTTAAGGGAGCTATTAATGAGAGGTAGTATAAAATATTGTTGAAAAATAAGAGGGCTATAAAATACTTTTAATATTTCAAAGCTTTTTAAAATTATAGTTATCAAAACTTAGAGCTGTATTATATTTTTATACACATGTATATATAATGTAAAATGGCAGCCTAGTCAGAGACGGATCCAGGATTTTAACAGGATGAATGCACTATTAAAAAAAGTGGATTTATAATATAAAATTTACGGGTTCAACCTTTAGTTCTTACTATTGCGCATCCATTACGCTTTTGGAATATAAGTTCGAAATTAATTTTTTCTTTAAAAGAGTAATTTTCTTACGCCTATGTCTATTTCCATGTTGAAAATATTGGGATCAGTTGAACCCATTGACTACATGCTACGTCATACGTTGTTACTAGTTTTAAAATACATATTTTGTTTAATCATATAAGATTTTAAAACGACAAAAGAAGAATAGAAATTTTAATGTGTGAAAATTTTGAAAGAATAAACCAAACAATTAAAGAAATAAAAAGAAAAAGTACTTAATTACTATCCAAAAAGTGACACCAGACACGTCCATCCCCGTGGGCGTCTAGTTTTAGAAAGAAAAGGAAAAAAAAACAAGATTGATATAAGATTTGAACTCACAACCCCGCGTAGAGAGGTACACCTAATAACCATAACATCATATAATACTTTGAGCATGAGTGCACACACATATTTTAAATATTTTTGAAAAAATATAACATTACTATACATGATTTAGGGAGGGGAGCATGGGTTCACGTGCCCCATAGAACCCCCCCCCCCCCCCCTAGATACGCCACTGAGCCTAGTACACTAAGCTCCTGTTATGTGCGTGAACTGGGGAAGAGCCAGGCCATAAGGGTCTATTTACGCAGTCTTATCATGCATTTTCTACAATTACGACTAGAATCTGTGATCTCCTAGTCACATAGCAGCAACTTTACCGGTTACGCCAAATTAAAACTCCCCTTCACCGATATACATATTAATGTATCTGCCTTATGTGTATTTCTCTGTATCCGTTATTGATACATATAGTAATTTTTTTTGATGAAGCAGTGTCGGATTGGGTACATGTGCCTCTACCCCTGCAAATCTGAACTATATTATTTAATTATTCACAAATTTTGCTAAATAATTACATTTTAATACTCCTTTTTATTATTTAACCTATCTTATTAATTTGTTCAGTTGAGTAAGAGACCAGAGCACCCAATCAACATATGAGGCCAAAATTAAACCGTACGAGTCGATTGTCAGCTCTTTTTACAATTGAAAAGAGAAAATTTTGCAGGGATAAAATTGGTATTCATTATTTTCTGGTGCAAATGAAGACAAATGATTGCCATTCAGATGGACCTATCATATATTTAGGGTCGAAATCATGACCTCAGAATTCTGGACACTAATTTGGAGTATTTTGCCAACTGATGTAATTGCTTACGCAGGGCGAACTTAGCATGCGGTTTCAATTGAACCTATAACTTTCGACGCGTAGTGTTTCATCTCTCCCCGAATGATAGGTGCGGCGGTTAGGCATCCTTAGATGAACGAGTGGTCTTTAGAGCTTGGTCGTTGTGTGTCACCACCTCTCACCTATCCTACACATTCGATTAAGGTTGTCACTGCAATGCTACAGTTAAGGTGCACGTAAAAAATCGCTAAATTGCAACAACATAGGAGATATGAACTCATTATTTTAAAAATATAACGGGTTCAATGTTAAGAATCTTAAAGGTTGAACTCATAGAATTTAAATTTTAGATCCGCCTTTGTCAACTTACGAGCTCTAGCTAGAAATTCTTTTTTTTTTTCTTCTTAAAATTGAAAATAAAGTTGGAAAATTGGATGAAAGTTGCCATGAACCACTTAATTTTCAGAAAAAAAACTACAAGTATTAAAAAAAGTTTCGTCCGTACAAACTTTTGTCTTTAATTCCCCCCCCCCCCCCACCCCAACCCCAAGTGAACGAATAATTATTTGAAAGGTTAACATCAATTGGAGTTTGTTGTTCGTCTGTGTTACATTGAATGCTGTCATCGCATGCTACATTGCTATTTAATGATCATTTGATCCCTTTTAAATATCGACAGAAATTTAGTGCTCATGTATATTGTATTGAATGTTCTAGCTACTTGATGAATATATATAATTCTCATGTGTCTCACATACTTTTGTTTAACAATAACAAAAACTATGCTTTTGGATCAGATATATGAATCCGCACTTCTTAATTATTTTAAGTTGAATTCATATCATCATATCAAATAAAATAAAAGTAAACTTTGTGAGCTTGATCTTTGCGAATTCCAAGCCCGAATAAAAAAAATTTGTGGTAGACTGACAACTAATGTAAAATTTGTCAATTAATAACGAAACACCAATAGGAGGCGGTGTCTCATGTTTGTGAAGAAAATATACATATGAATAGTATATAAAACTATTTTATCAACAAAATGTTGAATAATTTTCAAGTGACTACAGATTCTGATAATAAACCAAAACCTACTTGAGGATATTCTAATGGGGTCCGACAAATTTCCTTGTTACCCAAGGGAGTTGACCAAATCATTTTAAAAATAACTTTTTTTAATATTAAGTTGTAATATATGCAGTACTATTCGCCTCATTCATTGTTCTTATCCAAAATATGACATATATCACCAAGTTGTTTACCAAAGTGAAAATATTTTTTTTGTAAGAGGGGAAATACGCAATCGCTACAATCTCTGTCACACCCTGTGTCCTTTGAGTGAGCATTCTGTGGTGAGCACTTTGTGCGCACTGGGTAAACCTCCCCCTGTGTAATAGCCTGCAAAACACACAGAGAGATGTAAACTGCACAGGCAAGTCCTGTGCGACAGGCTCAACCTAGAAGGCATTAGTGGGGATTCGATCCCAGACATCCGCATGAATTACCACCCTCCAAACCAACTAGACAACCCCGAAGGATTCAAAGTGAAAATATTGATAGTAAATAAAATTAGACATGTACTTAGTAATGGTATTTCTTTATTACTAGAAAAAAGTTAAAAACAAAGAAAGGAAAAAAGAAATATTTATGCCGTGTCAAACAAGTAAAAGTTGGTCTAACGAATACGTTCTTTATCTAACAATTTAGACTTTTAGATGAAATAAATTAGTACTATTAAAAAAAATCATAGTAGCTGAGCAAGTTTAAGGCTTTAATTCTAGTCTCCTTGCGACCTTTTAATTAGATGTATTTCTTCTTTAACAATTTAAACTTTTAGACGTAGTAGTTCACATAGATATTGCGAGAGCAAAACTAAAGGAATAAATAAATAAGTCGATGACTACTTTTTCTTTTCTTGATTAGGGTATAAAATTAGTATTAATATTCTTCCAACCACATCTTATTTTCAAAATTAGTCAAATATTTGATTAAAGCACTATTTTTCTCGTTAATGCAAGGAAGTTCAAAAGGGACCCCCATTTTTATTTTTCTCGTTGATCAGATGAAATGAACCATACATTCAACTGGAGAAGACAGCAAAATTAGTCAACTTAAGTGAACCCCTTAAAGTAATCATTTAATTTTAGCTTTCTTTGGGACCAAGAATTGGTATATAACTCTTTTCATTCATATGGACTCAAACGTAAGCAGATTCGCAAGCACTATTGTCTTCTTAAGTTTTCATTCACACGGTGGCGAATTTAATCAAGGGTCTTCAAACTTAAAAAAAGTAAAAAAATTCCAACAAAATGTATTCAATATATATTATATACCTCTAAAACATGATATTTTACTTTTATTTGTAATATTATTTTCCGATAAAAAGTGTTCAATTGATCACCCTAACCAAAGTGTGGCTTCGCCCCTATATTCACAAGCCAAACAAAGGCGGATCCACGATATTAATTCTATCAGTTTAAGACTAAGATTTCAACCACTAAACTCATTACCTGGTCTGAGTTATGAGTTCATAGTTTAATATTTTCAATAATTTCCAAGTTATTTACTAAATAAATCCAGGTCTAGACTACTAAATGTTATGGGTTCAAATAAACCATATACGTAAATTGCTAGGTCCGCCCCTGAAGCCAAATCTCAGATGCCTTTGTAGTATTTTAGATAAGATACACACAAAATAAATAAATAAAATTATGTAAAACGTATTTTTGTGTTTGGATTGTTTCTCTTTTATTATGGAAGCCA